CAATGAACTCCCTTGGGGAATACCACATGTTATAGTTTGCATTTCTGATTTCACATTGTTAAATGAAACGTATTGTTTTCTATCCTTTAGATAACTGCAAAACTATTTCAAAGGGATCCCGCGAATTCCATATTTCTCTAACTTGTTGATTAGAATTTCATGGTTTACGGAGTCGAAAGCTTTAGAAAAGTCTAAAAAACACCCCACAAGTGTAGACATTGTTATAAGAGAGTGTCGTACATATCCGAGTAAAATTTAACATCAGATTTCAGATCTTCGTACTTCGTTCTTCTTGTATTAGTTCCTTAACCTTTTCTAAGGTGATCTCAATAGCGTCGATTTTGATGAGCTACGCTAAGCGTGGCCGGTCGCCATTACGACATATGCCTTAGCCATATATGTTTCAGGGTAGCGATACAATTTTGCTTTTGATAAAGGTTTGCTTTGAATTTGTTGACAGTATAGTCGAGAACTTCGATGCAGTAATCGCTAAGTAGCTCCTCATGTAATAAAAATTGCTGGTGTTGACGACTGACCTAATTTAAGAAAAGCTTATAGATAGGAAACCAATCTATGCAACGGCGGACGCTAAGATCGATTATCTATATACTCCAAACATAAGGTATTTTTGCTACGGAAAGGGATAAAACGATTTAAACATAAGACTAAACATAAGTCTATATTCAGTGCATACTCTCAAAATATATAATAAAGGCCTTCCGTAAAACTAGAAGAAAATCATTTTCATCGTAGCTTGAGATAGATGACTTGACTACAATTCGTCTTACACGGACCGGTGTAAAGAACACTCAAAGCTGCTTACCATATCGAACATTTGAAGTTTTCATTGACTTTTTCAACGAACTGTTCAGTCTTGAAACCCATTACGGTGACTGAGCTGTGACCAGGAGTGGAAACGATGAAAAGAGCTTTTAAAAAGGCTTGCTCACACAATGTACAGTATCACAGCCAAGCAACAAGTGATTTGCATATCGAAGGTGCTTCACTTCAGACAAGTAATAAGCCGTGCGACTGAGGAACTGGGGAGACAGGAAGTGGAAAACCCGAAAGTAAAACAACAAACTTTTAGCAAAATTAATTTCCCTGGGGTTTTTATAAAGTTGTATAGAATTGTTGATTAAGGAGAATACATTTTGTAGCCCTATTCTATGATTCTAGATCAACTGAAGAGTTTAGTTAGTCAAAATAGGTTGAAGCTCAGGGGCAAGTTTTTTTGTTAGAAAAAGTAATTGTGTGCTCGCGATCACTCGACAAATCGAACCGTGAACACTTCAAATTTTCTGACACTTTTGTAGTGAAAATGCATACTCCTTGAGGCAGTCTATTTGATATAATGTTTATTTTGATTAATTTGAGTATTTGAACTCAATGTTTCACTTTTAGAGGGATTAAAACAGTATTGACGTTGTATTCACAGTTTCAAATGCGTTGATCTTTTTATTACATTAAGCGCACGATTTGCTACGATGTACAAATAACAGGAAAATAAGTCAATAAAGTTAAACTAAGCAAGCAAGAAATAATACGGTACGGATAAAACTAAAGGAAAAGATGAAAACGATAAACTTACAAGATCTGTGTTCCACTGAGCTTACAACTTGACTGGAGGTGAAAAACTAAACTTGAATACTAATGTACGGGCTATCACTGTCGCTTATGCAAAGAAAGAAACTTAATAAACAAAGAAAACGACTCACTTGAAAATGTAGAATGGAACAATAAAAAAGGCATGCGTACGCAAAAACGAACATAGCAGTTAGAAAACAATATAGCAAAACAAAAACCAAAAACTTGCTTATTCGTGACTAAAGACCTTGAGGAAATGATCACCTGACAAAATAAATAAATAAAAAATCTTAGAAAATGCCACATGTTTCCTCTTACTGACGAATTAATAGAAAAAACCTACTTAAGATATCTACTGAAAGTATATTTCTTGTAAGAAAAAGGGATTTTTATCTTTGTTTAATACACTAACTTACCTTTTATCACCAAAAAAAAAAAAAAAATCCCCCAGTCCCCCATCTTTGTTTACATTCCTAATTTAAGAACATAGATTCATCGTGTATTAAAAACCCGACGACACTATGTTTGACACAGGTATTCGGATCCAAGCAAAGGGGGAGGTGGTGGGGGGAACGTATGTGAAAAATGCTTGAAGGAAAATGATAAAAAAGAAAAGATATAGATAAATAACATAAAATAAATAAATATTAAGGCAGTGGATGTTTGGAACAGTTGAGGGTACGAGACTTGTAAATGTATATTGAATAAAGGATAAAAGCGTTTCGAGAGAATGCAACGTTACAAAACATGAGCTCATGCGTCGCGGCGGTGTGGTGAGGAATACAATATAAAAATAAGAAAGCTCTGGGATAGTCGTTAGATCTACCAAGTATTTATTATCAGGGGTAAAAGGAGAAATTTCTGGAGAGAACAACAACAAGTAAAACCAAGAAACAGCAACAGTTATTAGCAACGAAAAACTTAGGAGACCGCAAGCCCTCCCAGCTCCTTAGGCGTTTCCAACAGTTATTGGACGACCATTCTGCTGACCAGCCATTGGTTCGTGAGTCGTTTTTACAAAGATTGCCTCAGCACGTTAGACAACTACTGGCAGTAACAACCACCACAACAACAACCCTTGAAGAGCTTGCAAAGTTAGCCGACAAAGCCATGGATGAACAGGGCCTAAATGTCAACAATATCCAACCCTCAAGAATCTACTGAGATAGCAGCCCTGCAGGCGCAGCTTAAATAAATCAACAACACGTTAGCCACACTGACTAGGGAGCAGAAGAAGCCCATTAAATAGAAGCTGGAACCTCCAAACCCCCAAGTTTCAAAGGAACCACTGTGCAGTCCATAAGCGGTTTGGAAAAAACGCTTGCAAATGTCAACAACCCTGCAGCCAGGGAAACAAAACGGTCGGCACGTGAATGTGACTAGCATGCTGACAGGAACAGAGTCGCCTATTTTTCGTTACAGATAGAAGTTCAGGAAAGAGTTCTTAGTTGACACTTGTGCAGAAGTAAGTGTTTTACCTTTTAATAAACAGGGACCTCCCCTAAAACCCAGTACCATTTCTCACGAAGCTGCAGACCACAGCAAAATTAAAACCTATGGCATTCGTTTGGTTAGCTTAAACCTTGGTTTACGCTGTAAGTTTCAATGGAACTTACAGCGTAAAAGACGTTAAATTTCCAATACTTGGAACAGACTTCCTACGCCATTATTGTTTACTCGTTGATGTTAGTAAAAGTAGACTGCTTGATGCCACTACTTATCTCAGCACTCATTGCTCAACTGCGCAAGTAGACCTAGACGCCTTTCTCCGGAGAAGCTGGAAATCGCACGCACTGAATTCAACAACCTTATGGATATTGGCATTATAAGAGTCTCACAAAGTAACTGGTCTTCGCCTTTGCACATGGTACCTAAGAAAACACCAGGAGAGTAGAGACCTTGCGATGATTACCGAGCACTTAACGACATAACGGTACCAGACCGTTATCCTATACCACATATCCAGGACTTTACATCAAGTCTTCAAGGCGCCACAATTTTTTCGAAAGTGGATCTCGTTCGTGCATATCACCAGATCCCCGTGGAACCCGGCGTTACACAAAAGACTGCACTGACTACACCCTTTGGGTTGTTAGAGTTTACACGGATGCTTTTCGGTCTCCGAAACGCAGCACAAGCATTTCAGAGGTTTATTGATCAGGTCATCCATGAACTAGCCTTTTGTTATGGATACATTGATGATATTTTAGTGGCCAGCACAACACCTGATCAACACGAGGAACAATTACGATTGTTGTTTAAGCGTTTCGATGTATATGGTCTCGTTATCAATCCAGACAAGTGTGAGTTCGGAAAATCCGAACTGATCTTCCTGGGACACCATATCAGTAAAGATGGCATACGACCATTGACGGAGAAAATTCAGGCAGTTCTTGATTTTCCTCCCCTCATACTACCAAGAAGCTTAGAGAATCACAGATTTATACCAAACTGTGCTACTCTGCAGGTTCCACTCCTCTCCTGTTTAAAACAGGCGGACATAAAAAGGACAACACCGCAGTGGATAGAGGAGCTAGTCAGAGATTTTAACAACCTCAAGAAAGCCTTGGCAGCAGCTGCACACCTATCCCATTGGCATCCAACAGCTGAAACATGTCTGATTGTAGACGCATCAGGTGTAGCATTAGGAGCAGTCCTTCAGCAGAAGATCGATGGTGACTGGCGAGCACACGGATTCTTCTCTAAGAAACTTAAACCAGCAGAGAGTCGCTACAGCACCTTTGGAAGAGAGCTACTTGGAATTTACCTAGCGGTCAAGCACTTTCGACACCTACTAGAAGGTAGGAACTTTTATGTTCTCAAAGATCATAAACTACTAACAAATATCTTCAACTGCAACTCTGATAAGTACACACCAAGGGAAGTTAGACAAATGTCCTATGTCAAAGGCAGTGCCAATGCAGCAGCTGACGCAATTTCGCGAGTCGTTATCAATTTGGTAGAAAGAAGCCCGGTATTAGACTATGACCTGCTCGTAGAGGCTCAAAAAGGAGTTTCCGAGATCCAAAATATCAAAAGCCGCAACAACACTGTGCAAGTAAAAGAGTTCCTGTTTACCGCAGCAACGAAAGCCGTATTGTGCGATGTTTCTACAGGCACTCCAAGACCAATTATACCCAAGGAATTTAGACAAACAATATTTGACTCACTTCATGGATTTATCACGCCCAGGAATCAGAGGAACACAGTGACTTATCACAACTCGTTTCATGTGGCCTAAGATGAATGCAGACGTGAGAAAATGGCCAGAGAATGCGTAGCGTGACAACAGTCAAAGATTCATCGACACACATCTACACCTCCCGGTGAATTTGACCTCCCCCAAGCACAGATTTGACAATGTTCACATCGACCTGGTGGGTCCCTTGCCACCAGCTCAGAGTTACACTTACTTGCTTACGTGCATCGACCGCTTCACACGCGGGCCAGAAGCTATACCAATCAGTGAAGCAACAGCAGAAACAGTTGTCAAAGCCTTTGTTTCTGGATGGGTAGCAATATTTGGAATTCCATCTACAGTCACTACGGATAGAAGAAGACAATTCAAGTCACATTTGTGGCAGGAACTTAGTAAGCTTCTTGCAACAAAACAAATTCGCACAACAGCATATCATTCCATTTCCAACTTCCAGTGTGTGATTGAAAGTCAACTCAAAGCGTCTCTCAAGGCTAAAACCAATACAATAACGTGGATGGACTCTCTGCCCCTAATCCTACTTGGTTTGCGAAGTGCTTACAAGGAGGATCTCCAAGCTTGCACTTCCGAACTTGTTTATGGAACTACCTTACGTTTACCTGGACAATTATTTAACTCAGCTCTGGGTCACAAGACTCAACTATTCTCACTTCAGAGTTTTTCAGCAAGCTCAAAAGCGCACAAGAAGGTGCATGCCCCTCCAAAGCCTTATTATGCAGGTAGTGGAAAACAGATAAAAGCACCGAACCGTTTCATCATCATGTTGCAACTAGACAGACAGACAGACAGACAGACAGACAGACAGACAGACAGACAGACAGACAGACAGACAGACAGACAGACAGACGTTTTTTATTCGGTATCAAGTATTAGTATATACATAGACATTTTACCCGAATAAATGTATGGACTATAATTGTTGATTTATAGTAATTCCTATTATGTTATAATGAATTCGCCCAAATTTAACCTATTTGTTATTGTTACTATTCAGTGCCTAGTTTGGGCAAGAAGACCACATTCTATATTAATTGTGTATTGTATGCGATCTTTTTATAAAGCGGTTGTGGACGTATTTTGCCACTGCTATCACGTTTTGGGTGGACTCATAAGTAGCAGAAACAGCTCGTTCTCATTTAACAAAAGAGAATCATTGTTTATGTTTTTTATGTCCTTGAAGAGCTCTTCCCTAGCTTAGATTTGACTATAGTGTACAGTGAAGAAGGAAGTGCCCCTCATCTTCAACGCTATCTAGGCAATGGAAGCAACTCCTTTCTTCTGCTTTTCTTTTTTCGTATTCCCTTGAATAACTTCCCTTTTGGATTTCAAGGTCGTGATTACTAATTCTCAATTTGGTTAATGATTTTCTGTGTTCAAAATTTTTGACTTCGATTAAATAATTTTCAAACTTTTCAACCCCCTTTCACCTCAGTCCTCCCCTCCCTGAGCACACACTAACCATCTCTCATCTCTGATCCCATACAACTACCTACAATCCCACTTCATCCCACTCCTCCCCTCCCTTAGCACACACTAACCATCTCTCATCTCTTGTCCCATACAATTAACTACAATCCCCTTGTACCCCGCTTTCTGAACACACACCAATCATCTCTCTTTTCTTCAACCATTTTTTACATACGTCACCCCCACCACCTCGCCCTTTGCTTGAGCCCGAATACCTGTGTCAAACATAGTGTCGTCGGTTTTTTTATACCCGATGAATCTATGTTCTTAAAAAAAAAGTTAAACAAAATTTWAAAAAATTTAAACATGCCGTATAATTCATCATCCTGACGAATTAATAAAATCTAAAAAATCTACTTAAGGATGGTGGGTACAGTTGTCAGCGCGCACTCTTACCATGTAACAGAACTCACTAAATCTTTTGTGCAAAAACTAAATCTACTCAAATCGCTCTACTTCCTTCCCAAACTTGTAAAACAAGACTTCTACTACAAGATCATTCTTCCAGCCGTCACCTATGGCATATTACTTTGGGGTAACTGTACTCAAAMACTCATGGATAACCTGGACAAGCTACACTACAGAGCTGCACGTGTCATCAACCAGCTGCCCTGGAACACCCCAAAAAAAGAGATAAGGCGCCAACTGCTTTGGAGACCCCTCAAGTTCTTTTACACTATCAAGCTGGGTGTTTTCATGCACAAGTGCTACTACAACCTAGATTCCAACCAGGAACTGCAGGACCACATCAAAAAGAGAGATGTTGGCTACTCCCTACGTAGTTCCAACCAAATAACATTGCCTCTTTTCCAAACAGT